AGAGGGTACTGCGTTACTTGTGCAGTACATCAGGCATGGGGCTAGTGCTTGGAGGACGGAGTGAGGTGGTGCTCACTGGGCACTCAGACGCGTCTTGGGTTGACGACCAGACTACACAGCGGTCGTCACAGGGTTACACCTTCAGCCTTGGCTCTGGCTCTGTTTCTTGGCGGTCTACACGCTCGTCTTCTGTTCTCAGCTCCAGTTGTGAGGCTGAGATCTACGCCACCGCCATGGCTGCACAGGAGCTACGCTGGCTCACCTACCTGCTGACTGACTTGGGTGAGCGGCCTCGTTCTCCTCCAGTTCTGTACGTTGACAACAAGGCGGCCATTGCCTTGTGTGAGGAGCACAGACTGGAGCACAGAACGAAGCACATCGCTCTGCGTTACTTCCTGGCTCGAGAGTTGCAGCAGCGAGGCCAGCTTCGTCTTCGTCACGTGGCCACTCGGGCCAACACTGCTGATATATTCACCAAGGCACTTCCGTCTGGTGATCATCAGCGCTTTTGTACCCTGTTAGGCCTTGTGCCTACGTTTCCACACTTGCTGTAGTCTTTGGTTGTACTGTGATCTATATATATATGTTCTGCATGCTTGCCCTTGCTAGGTAGTGATCACTGCTCTATTGTTGTTGCATATATATATACCTCTGCATGTGAACTGGCCTTGTGGCCCTTTGCTTGTGCTCAGAGAGTGTGGTGACGTTGTGATCCACCCTGAGCTTGCTTTGCTTCTCTTGACTGGTCGTGTGACCCTTGTTCTCCCCCACTTTGCCTATGGGGGTGTGTCAAACATATATGCTGCTTATTGTGTAGGCTGTAGTGGGGTAGCCCATATGGGGTACAACCCAAATTAGGGTTTACTACTTGTACTCCTGCATCCTGCTAGTGCATTCATTCCTGCTGCTAGATTCTAACACGAGCAAATACTTATGTGCAAAGGCATGCAACGGTTACGCGGTGCGTGCGAGCTAGCTAGTGCTATGCTCGCATCGAAGTTTGGGCTAGTCCCGAAGCGTAGGCCGACTCGGCCGGGCCAGCGGTGCATGGTTTGGTGAAACAGTGCGCGCGAAGTTGGCGAAGCCTCGTTATTAGTAATGGGTGAACAACGGCTGCTGCTGAAAACGATGTTGATGGTCGCGGTAAGGAATGTCGAGAAAATTCCTTACATGAGGTTATCAAAGTATGCGCGATATAGGGTTTAGGGTCCGTTTCCGTGTATGGCCTACTAGGTTGGGCATTCTAAAGAATATAGTTCTCCTACTTACCACTCATTTTTTCCGTAATATTTCAATGCAACTAAAGGAAAAGAGTTAGGGAGACGGGAGGAAAAGCCATCCCTCCCAATGAGAGTCACTCAAAGCTCAAAAGCTTCACAAAATTCTGAAAGTACTTTACATATGTAATACATTTCCTCCATATCACCTACATCACCATCCAATCCACCGGTACTAAATACGCATTTTGTCCTTAGGCTTTCACGGCAACGGGCTGAATCTGGAACTGCCCCATGGCTGCTCCCCCCGTGACAGCAGTCGTCCCGAACCCCGTGCAGTACCCCTCTGGCCCCGCTACAATCGAATCCACCAGCTGCTTGTAAGTGTCCCCTTGGAACGTGGTCAGGGTACTCGCTTGAAGCCACGTTCCGTTAAGGGCATAGGTGTACGTTGTTGGGGAAGCGGATGCGTCGCCCAGGCTCTTCCTGCTCTGGGGAAGCGACGAAGTAGTAGTCAAATCCACCCACGGGCCATCGGTCCCTGGCGGGGAAAAGAAGACGGCGACGATTCTCTCCTGCCCCACGTCCTTCGCAATGCCGGCGAAGGTCGGCTCGCCCGCGGTGGGGCTGGAGGCGAGAACGCTGTAGAAAATGTTGTAGTCTCCGTTCGACCTGACGGATTCAGTCAGAGTTCGCACGGGCGAATGGAAATGGCGGAATGAGAGTCGCATCATTTGAAGAGGGAAGCTGAAAGGAAAGTAAGTTTTCCGTGAAAAAGGCAAATAAGCTAACGCTCAGGGAGAGTGCGTGGAGTCTTACTCGTAGACGGCGAGGCAGACTTGCCCGCTGGCGCCGACTTGGCCCGTCCACGTGCCTACGGTTCCGTTCAGCGGCGCAGAGAGAATCTCTGCGCGGAGAGTATGGGAGGAGGAACGGAGCGAGAAAGAGGAGGGAGAGCGATTGGAGGGGAGGGTTTCTTCGAAGTGAGCATAGCCAGCGAGGGGCTTGGAACGACATTCCACCACACGACACAAACGACTTTGCGACCAGCCTCGATTACGGGAATTTCGAAAGTGTCAGATAGTATTCTTACGGGTGAGAAGACTCTGAGAGCTTCTCACCTGTCAGAGTCCCGAGAGCTTCAGCCTGGTCGGGCTTGGGCAACGTGCACGGGCTGTCCTTCGGGGATTGCGCCGTCGTGGTCGCTGCGCAGCAGACGGAAGAACCACACGGAGAATTTTAGTTTGAAGCAGAATCAGCAACGGAGATTCCATATGGGATTTTTGCGGCTGGTTGTGGGATGTGTATTAGATAGAGCGCATCGGATGCGAACGTACCGAAGCTCGCGGTGACGACTAAGAGACAGATCGCCAAGCCGGCGTAGCGCTGGAGCTCCATGATCGCAGACTGAATTCCGGAGCTGGTGAGCCGAGACTCTGAGAGAGAGGAGGCGATAAAAGATTGTTCTGGCGCTGCTACTCGATGATAGGAGCAAACAAACTGAAAGCTTGGTGTTTCGAATGACCGAATGGAGTGCTATTTATGGGCCGCGACGAGGTGCGCTTACAGGGCGTGGAATGGTGGTCACTTCGAGAAGGTTACAGACTGTTTCAGAACGGTTCCGCGAGATCGACAATCGGTTGTGAAATGTTACGCCTAGGTGAAATTATGTTTCCTCGGAATTTCACCTTCAACACATTCGCGCTGCGGGAAACCAGGATAACACGCTTCCAGCAGTCAGATACTCGCTGCCGACGCGACGGTCAGGTACCGGTAGATGCTGCCGACTTCAGATAGACGGATTCGGCGGGTTACCTGGCGGGAAAGTAAGGGCGCCACCATGGCTGGATGCTTGCTCGTGTGACGTTTCGAAGGTACAGTAGCAAAAATATGTGCGCCGCAATGAAGGCAAAACAACAAGCCCCCACCAAAAATGTTTTGCTATTGCCCGTCAGAAACAGTGACAAGGTTTGGGGCACTGATTTTCGACGCAAAAAAAGCAAAAGTTTCTCTAAATTACGGCCATACCTTTCGAAGCATCATTTCTTGATTTCGTTTTGCCCAGACAGTCGATGCCCCAAATTGTCGCCGCAGAGCACGGAATCAGTTTCCCCCCGGAAAAGTGAAATTCAGGTGAAGCAGGGGAATTCGAGGCGCCATTCCACCCAGTTACTTCTACCCTGGCGGGATTTGCGTGCAATGCAATGCAGTCAGCTTGGTCAACGCGCACATGCCGCACCAGGAGAAGCCAGGAGAATGTTGAAGGTTCGATTTAATTCTCGCCGTTATACGATCGCTGATTTTACAGAATAGCTGCCTTATTTCAGCCCTCTCATATATAAATATTGCCACTCCCATTACCTAAAGCGTATGATTGATCATGCTCCAATTCAGAATAATTAAATTACTGACAACTGCACTACCAAGAAAATTCCATATTTCAACCTGAAATTGTCGCACGTCTAGCAAAAAATGCTCAACTAAACGCATGATTACATATTTACAAGCAGGGTAGTTTTCAGGTTTAACACTGACATATCAGGCTTTTCAATTTAGCAACACTAATGAGCCATTTTTTTGTCAGGATGTAGATTTTCCTTGTAAAGAGAACACTCTTCTCACCAGAGTGTTGCCAGCACAAATGGAGCGCGCGCGGTACGATAACTGCTGGTTTGACCAAGCCCGCAAAAGAGTCCGTGGTTTCGCGCGGCAACTTCTGTGCTCATCCGCTGGGCCCAACCTCCGCCTTCCGCTCCCCCCTTGCCAGGAGCCACACAAGCTGCATCCGCCGCCATAGGCGGCTCCTCGTTACAAGCTCCCCCTTTGTGTACAAACCCTTCGTAACTTACCAACGGCGGGTATGTGGTGGAACAAGGTGCTGTACGCTCTCGAGCGGTTTGCCTGCTCTCGCCACCCACCAGTCTGTACATACCAAGATTCTTTGGCTGAAAACGAACTAGGGCCTAACAAGCACCTTATATCGGGCCTCGCTGCAAAACTGCTGTGTAATTTGCGTTGTGCGCCCTCACGGACAAAACAGTTGCTCCTTGCTTTTTCCCACATTAGGTGTCTAGGTCTGTCAGCGGCGTTCACGTCCCTATTTCTACAGCGGTCATTGCTCGCCGCTGGCATGTGGCGCTACTTCACGGGAATAACATAATTTCGCTGCGCTGGTCTTTCTCACCTGAACGCTACAGTAAGCCTGGAAGTCGATTCTGTTATTAACGCTTTTATTTTCGACCACTTCAACGCGCTCATATTTCGTCACCCCACAAAACGGTGCCTCTGCTTAATGCGTTCCGTTTCAGACGATCTTACACATCGTTCCGCGGACCCCGCCAATCACAAAAATTAAAATCACGCACTTCCCACTGAGCAAGTACCTGGCAGTCGCGGTGGCATGGCAGCGAGCTACGGAGCTAGCACCGTGCCTTCCGCGTCGCAGTGGGCGCCGTACCGCCGCTGGTCAAAGCGACCGCTTTTGACCGCTTTTTCCAGCCTTTCCGTCCCTGCGTTTCAAACGTTTGTCTCCCTTCTTGCAGCGGCAAGAAAGCAAGCGAAAACGCGCGATCGAGGAAGCAAACGACGAGCGAGCGATCTAACGAGCGAGAGCGACCGACCAAGCGAGCGGGCGAGCGAGCGGGCGAGCGGGCGAGCGAGCGGGCGAGCGATCAAGCGAGCGGGCGAGCGAGCGGGCGAGCGATCAAGCGAGCGGGCGACAGACCAAGCGAGCGGGCGATCGACCAAGCGAGCGAGCGACCGACCAAGCGAGCGAGGGCCATAATGTTTTCGTCGTCGCAATCGACGGCGGTGCAGCTGGTGGACAAGGCGACAAGCGACCTGCTGGCGAGCCCTGATTGGACGCTCAACATGCAGCTCTGCGACCTCCTTAACGCCAGCTCCGGGTGAGTTGGAGACGCCAGCTCCGTGTGAGTTGGAGACGCCAGCTCCGGGTGAGCAGATTAAAGACGTCTTTAATTTGTGCGCTCCGGGTAAGCGTATTTGGTGTCATCATTTTGTCGAAGGCTGAACGTTTTTAAGCCCTCTCAAGTTCTTAACATACTTGCTCCTTCCTCGTGTCATTGCGTGACCTGCATGGCAGGCAAGTGAAGGACGTGGTGAGGGCAGTGAGGAAGCGCATCGGCAGCAAGAACAGGAAGACGCAGCTCCTCGCCCTCACTGTACGCTCACCGCTCGCGGTGCTGGCTCGAACCGCTCTTGGTTTACTGCTGCTCTCTCGTTTTATAAAAACCCCCATGCCCCACATGCCGTAAGATGAAACATGCACGCCCATGTCTTTGCATGGGGGCCATGCCCCACATGTGGTTGCATGAATGGATACTCCGCTGTTCAGGTCGCATGCCTGATCTATTCCTTTCCTGAGACCAGAAAAACGGAGTATCATTTATGTTACCACGCCACCTGCATCAGCCCCTCCTAGAGTCTTTCCATGTACCCCTAAAAAGCCCCCGTACATGCCCATGTGCGCCCACGTGTTGTCCCCTGCTGTGTGCCCCTGTGCTCCCCTGTGCGCCCCCGTCTGCCCCTGTCCGCCCCTGTGCACCCCTGTCTGTCCCTGTGCGCCCCTGTCCACCGCTGTGCACCCATCCATGGCGCCATCCAATCCCATCCCTCAGCTGCTGGAGACGCTGATCAAGAACTGCACGGCCTTCGTGCATCGCGTGTCCACACTCACTCATATCCCTCAACTCCCCTTTGCGCCCCTGCATACCCCTCCATACATACCCCTGCATTCATACCTCAGCTGCTGGAGACGCTGATCAAGAACTGCACGGCCTACGTGCACCGCATAGTGGCGGAGAAGGACGTGCCGGCAGAGATGGCCAAGATCGCCCGCAAGAAGGTGCGATGGAGGGTGAGGCACCCGCTCTGCTCTTCTCTGCTTTGCTCTTCTTCCCCCATTCCCCTTTGAAGAACTGCACGGCCTACGTGCACCGCATAGTGGCGGAGAAGGACGTGCCGGCAGAGATGGCCAAGATCGCCCGCAAGAAGGTGAGATGGAGGGTGAGGCACCCGCTCTGCTCTTCTCTGCTTTGCTCTTCTTCCCCCATTCCCCTTTGAAGAACTGCACGGCCTACGTGCACCGCATAGTGGCGGAGAAGGACGTGCTGGCAGAAATGGCCAAGATCGCCCGCAAGAAGGTGCGTGGGGTGGAGCCTGCTTTGCTCTGCTCAATTCTGCCCTGCCCTGCTCTGCCCTGCTCTGCCCTGCCCTGCCGTGCTCTGCTCTGCTCTGCTCTGCCCTGCTCTGCTCTGCTCTGCTCTGCTCTGCTCTGTTCTTCCCGCATTCCCCCGCCTTAATCTCCCCCCCCCCTGCTCTCCTCTCTGCTCCGTTCATTGCCCATCCCGTTCCTTTCCCCCATTAATCCCACTCTTCCCCTCATCAGTGCGATGAGGAGGTGCGAATGCGCATCCTAGAGCAGGTGGACGTGTGGCAGGAGGCGTTCGGATTGAGGCTCTTTCCTAATATATACCCAACCCCACTTTGCCATCCGCCCCTTCCTTCTTCCCCCTCCGGCTCCCCCCTTATCAGTGTGACGAGGAGGTGCGCATGCGCATACTGGAGCTGCTGGACGTGTGGCAGGAGGCGTTCGGAGGGCTTTGGACCCCCCACTATGTCCGTCACTCACTGTCACTCGTCCCACCATCCCTCTCCCCCTACCCCAGTGTGACGAGGAGGTGCGCCTGCGCATATTAGAGCTGCTGGACGTGTGGCAGGAGGCGTTCGGAGGGGCGGGCGGACGGCCGGTGCAGTTCTTCCTGGCGTATGATGAGCTCAAGGTGGGGGGGGGTTGGACAGGGGGCAGGGGAGCAAGGGTCAAGGGGCAGGAGGAAGGGGCAGGAGGAAGGGGCAGGGGCAGGGGGCAGGATGCGGGGGGCGGGGGGCGGGGAGCGGGGAGCAGGGGGCAGGGGGCAAGCGGCAGGGCGCACAGGCAGCGCACGTGTGCTGTGCGGTAGTTGCCAGTTCGACATGCGCACAGGACGTGTCGCGTAATGCTTGCCTGGTTCAGGGAGGGATGCCTCGAGCTGAGCATGCCTGTGAAAGCTCACCCTGCCCTGCCCCATTGGAGTGCTCACCCTACCTTATTGGATAGTCCACCCTGCTCCAATGAACTGTCCAGTCCACCACCACCTGTCCCAAATGGTTCACATATTCACCCCACATACCCATGCCACACCCAAAAGACTCCCTAGCCTCTTCTCTCCCCCTCCCCTCTCCCCAACCCCACACCACCACCACCCCCTCCATGCAAGCAGCGCATGGGCATGCCCTTCCCCCTTCGCGACTCCAACCGAGTGGTACCGGTCTTCACCCCGCCCCAGAGTCTGGGGCCCAGACGTAACCCACCCACCGCTGCCCCCAACTCCTCAACTTCCTCTTTCCCCTCTTCCTACCCTACCCTACCCACACACCCCCACCGTCCCTCCTGTGCAAGCAGCGCATGGGCATGCCCTTCCCCCCCCGCGACCCCAACCGAGTGGTACTGTTCTTCACCCCGCCAACTCCTTTAACTTCCTCTTCCCCCTCAACCCATCATCCCACCACCACCCCGTCCCTCCCTCTGTTTGCAGCGCATGGGCATGCCCTTTCCCCCCCGCGACCCCCACCGGGTCGTACCTGTCTTCACCCCGCCCCAGACGCAGCCCACAGCCGCGCCCTTCAGCCACGGCCCTCCCCAGATGCACCCTCCCCAGTCGTACCCGCCCCAGACGTACACGACCCGGGGCTATGATGGGCGGCCTGTGGTGATGGGGTACCCTGTGGGGAGTGGGGGAGCAGGGGGCGCGGGGAGGGGGGAGGAGGAGATCCCCCCTCATGTGCTGCAGGCCACGACTGCCACCATGATGACGTGAGTGGTGGAGTGGGGAGTGGAGAGGAGAGTGAGGGGGGGCGGGCAGGGCGGGGGGCGCGGGGAGGGGGGAGGAGGAGATTCCTCCGCATGTGCTGCAGGCCACGACTGCCACCACTATGACGTGAGTGCTGGCAGGGGAGTGGTGGGGTGGGGAGTGATGGGGTGGGGAGTGATGAGGTGGGGAGTGGTGGGGTGGGGAGTGGTGGGGTGGGGAGTGATGGGGTGGGGAGTGATGGGGTGGGGAGTGATGGGGTGGGGAGTGATGGGGTGGGGAGTGATGGGGTGGGGAGTGATGGGGTGGGGAGTGATGGGGTGGGGAGTGATGGGGTGGGGAGTGATGGGATGGGGAGTGATGGGATGAGGCGTGATGGGATGGGGAATGTTGATGTCTAGGGTTGGTCCTTAACCTTTTTAGGGTCACGTAAACATTCCTGGCTGCCTGGAGAGATAAGAATTCATTGGACTAACTAAGTGGCTGCATGGGAAGAGCCTGATCAATCTATGCCTAAGCATGGTAGCACATGATTTCATCAACTTACAGATGCCCTAAAAAAGTTAAGGACCAACTAAGGTTGAGAGCATCAACTCAACCCCCCCTCGTGACTCCACCGTGGCAGCTTCAACTCACCTTGATCGTCAAGTCAAGTTGATTCTATCCAAAAGTCACCCGACCATTCTGCCGTAGTCTGTCAGCCACCTCTGAGTCACCCTGTATATGGGAAGAGCGTTACTGAGAGAGCGTTTTTGGGAGAGCGTTACTGCACTCCCTGTTCTTGTGGTCGAGCTTGCATGGACTCGCCCCACCCCTGTGCTGTGTGTCTCCCACCCACAGGGCGGCCGACCTGGTGAATGCGCGCAGCACAGTGGATCTGCTGGGAGAGATGCTCGCCACAGTGGACGCCAACAACCCTGCGGTACGTTCAGTTGGCCACCTTGTGCAACCACCTACCACCACCCACCCAGCACACTTTTAAGCGACTCAAAATTCACCTGGTGAATGCGCGCAGCACAGTGGACCGAGATGCTCGCCACAGTAGATGCCAATAATCCCACGGTACGTTCAGTTGGCCACCTTGTGCAACCACCTACCACCATCCACCCAGCATACTTCTGAGGTGACTCAGAAGTCACCTGGTGAATGCACTAAGCACAGTGGAGCTGCTGGGAGAGATGCTCGCCTCAGTGGGCGCCAACAACCCCGCTGTATGTGACACGTCACACGTCACACGTCACACGTCCAATGGTCATGCTTGTGCAGCCACCACCACCACTAAGCATTCCCCTCCCCACCCCCCGTCATACTCGCGCAAAACACCAAACTCTCTGTTGGTCCATCCCTAGCGTCCTCGCACATCTCTCCCCCTTCCAGTTCAATGTATTTTTTGAGAATTCTAAAAAAGCACATTCAGGCAGGACCCCACTGAGTCGTCCTATCCACATTATGAACCTCCCGTTGTTGCTTGTTTCCTTCTGCCCCACCATCTCTGCCTCCTGGCTGCCACATCACACCCCTCGCATGGTAGCAGACATGCTGCCATGCGGTATTCGTGTAAGATATGTTGTGAAGAACTATCTCTGTATGTAGAGCTAGCGAAGACCTATCTGTTCGTGAAGTTACTGTGGAGAAACAAAGAGGCGCACATGTGTGTGTGTGTGTGTGTGCGTGCGTGTGTGTGCGTGCGTGCGTGTGTGTGTGTGTGTGTGTGTGTGTGTGAGTGTGTGTGTGTGTGGGGGGGGGGTGGGTGTGTGCGCGCGTGTGTTGGTGTGGGCGTGTGTGAGTGCGTGAGTGCGTGCGTGCGTGAGTGCGTGCGTGCGTGCGTGCGTGCTTGTGCGTGCGTGCTTGTGCGTGCGTGCTTGTGCGTGCATGCGTGCATGCTTGCATGTGCATGCATGTGTCTGTGTGTGTGTTGTGGTGTATCAGGCGGCTACCGATGAGGTGATAAGCGACTTGGTGGAGCAGACTCGCACGCTGCAGCAGCAGCTCACAGCTGCCCTCAACATATCCACGTGAGTGCCCCACCCTTCCCCATCATTCTGCCACTCCACCCCCATCTTTCCCCCTCTCCCTTCTCACAAATCCCTTTTCCTCCATTCCGCCTTCCCTTTCATCCTCGTTAATCTGCTACCTGTAGTGATGAGCAGTTTCTATTGCAGGGCCATGCAAGCTAAGTTGCGGAAGACGCAAGACGCGTCTTGCGTCTAGCGTCTAGACGCAGCGTCTAGACGCTAGACGCAAGACGCAGAATTAGACGCAAGACGCTTGGCAAAAAAATTTTCGGGCAGCCCGAAAAAAAAAAAATTCCGCGCGCGAAATTGAATTTCGCCATTTCGACGCGAAATTCAATTTCGCGTTTTTCAAACCTAAGTTGGATCTTACGTTTACGGTTCCTTACGTTTTCGTAAAATTACGACAATTTTTACGTTTACGAACGGTGGCCCTGATTCGGCCTTACGTTTACGGTCACCTCAAAACTTTTTTGAGCTGCCCAAGGGAAAAGAAATGACCAGAGTATTAGGGGGATTCATTGGGTAAACCATGAATCTGAATTCTCGATTCAGATCCAAGTTCGACAAGGGTGGTGTCAACCTAGCAGCTCGTTCGTAATCTATCGTGTTTCTCTCCTACTAACCAGGTCAACGCTGAATCTGAAACTTTCACGGACTCAAAAGGCCCTCCATACGTAGTAAAGTCGCTATTCTAGAAAAACACACGTCGGATTAGTAGTAAGGATCTAGTACACGTACATAATCCTGGAAAAAAAAGCTCTAAACTTTTTTTTTCCTGCCCGCCTCATACTTACGCGTAATTTACGTTTTCGTTTACGTTTACGCGAAATTTACGTTTACGTGACCTCCAAAAACGTAAGAGCCCAACTTAGTTTCAAACCCCTCCCCACCCATTTCGACCCCACAAACAGGTCCTCCAACAAACTTGAAGGCCCCCCCACCCCAAATTGAACACTTACCACTCTTCACCACTCACTATCTACAAAACCCAACCTTCATGGTAAACCACCAAGAGGTTGAGGAGCACAAATCCCTCATTTGTGCTCCCCAACCTTCATTTCTTTCAATTCTCTTTCGTAAACCCTAAGGGTTTAGCTCTTACCTCCGCGCAAGCAACTATGGCTTCTTCTAGTGGTAGTGGCGCTTCGTCTAGTAGTTCCTCCTCCGCGAGCGAGAATGCCGTCGGCGAGGGTTCTTCCGCTCGTGTTTCCAAGGAAATGGAGGGTATTGAGAAGAAATCTAAGTTTCCCGAGCACCCGATCTACAAGCACTATTATTTTTTCTCGGACCCGAAGAAGAAGGGCGAGCAAGTCGAGTGCCTTTTTTGCCACAAGAAGTTCTCAAATAGTAGTAGCCGCACTCCCGAGCATCTCGCCGAGTGGCACGACCCGCATCGGCGCCGCGAGGCGGGAGTCGTTTGCAACAAGGTGCCGAAGGAGATTTCATCGGAGATTTGCGAGATGTTCGAAGCCAAGATTCGGGCGCGCAACCAAAAGGCGCGGGCGACAAGTGCGGCGATCGCGGCGGTGAGCGGCAAGAGCGAGGCGGGAGGGAAAGGGAAGCGCGGGCGCATGGAGGACTTCTACGGCGAGGGCGGACTTGCGGCGAGGCGGGCGGCCGACGAGGCGATTGTCCTCTACCTCGCGGGGACGCGCACGTCGGAGGCGCAGTGCGAGCACCCGCTCTTCCTCAACATGCTGCGAGCCGTCACCGCTGCCGGCTCGGGCTATGTCCCCCCCAAACGGCACTACGTCGGAGGCGCCGGCTCGGGCTATGTCCCAGCCCGTTTCCGCTTCACCGTGCGAGCGGGGCTGGTCTACATGGGATGGCGTGCACACGGCGCGCAGGAACCGACTCGGGTCGGAGAAAGTGCGCGACCTTGTGTATGTTGCGCACAACTGGAACGTTGTGCACACATTCCACAAGGATGCGGAAGCGGGGCCTAGTGTGGTGGGAAGGAAGGGTGCAGTGGTGGAGGGGAACATCCCCCCCCCTCCCCTCCCTGAGGGGTACAAGTTGGAGGAGGATGGGGAGATGGAGGCGGACGAGGACGACGTGTGCCTCGATGAGTGGCAGACGCAGGAGGAGCTGGAGAAGGAAGGGGAGGGGGAGGAGGAGGAGGAGGAGGAGGAGGAGGAGGAGGAGGAGGAGGAGGAGGACGACGACGACAGCTAGGAGGCGTAGTGTTTGCTGCTGAGATTTGTAGTAGTAGTACTGTATTTCGAGCTTGCTACTACTAGAGAGACATGGATGGAAGGTTAACTACTTATGATGCTTTGTGATAACTTTTTTGAAGACTAAGAATGGGGGAAAAAAAAACTTGTGTGGGGAAAAATACACCCCATTGTGACATAGGTGCATGTTCCCCATCCTCGCCATGCCCCTGAGAACTTTTTTTGGTCTGCCCGAACTTTTTTTTAGGCCTGCCCGGGTTTTCGTCTAGCACTGCGTCTAATCCAGCCTATCTAGCGTCTAGCGTCTTAGACGCTGCGTCTAGACGGACGCGTCTAAGACGCTAGACGCGTCTTCCGCAACATAGCATGCAAGTATCATCCCTTTCGCGCTTCCCCTTCCTTGGCCTCACTACTGCATGCAGCGAGAAATAGTTTTCCTTCCAGGGCCTCGCGCTGAACGACAACATGCAGAGGCTCCTCGACGGCCACAGCACCCTCATCGTTCCCCCTCTTCTTTCTCGCATCTGTTCCACCTTTTCCGTTCCCCTTCCATCCATCCTCGTAAATTTGTACCCCGTAGAAACGAGCAGTTTCTCTTCCAGGGCCTTCCATCCATCCATCCGCAGTGACGAGGCGTCTGGTTGCCACACCTCTGCTACTTCCTCCTGTTTCCTCACTTTTCTCAAATCCCTTTCCCTGATGCCTCCTTCTGTCCTTGGGCCCAATATTGCATGCAGCGACGAGCAGTTCCTTTTCCAGGGCCTGGCGCTGAGCGACGAAATGCACAAGCACCTCCACCGCCACAGCGCCCTGCTCGCCTCCTCGCTGCACCGCGGGGGGGACGGCCGCCACAGCGACAGCAGCAGCGGCGGCGCCTCTCCTCCCCGCCCGGGGGCTTACCAGTCCTATCCCGGTCAGAGCGAGGGTCAAGGCGGGGGTGGGGGTGTGAACCGCGGGCAGCAGTACGATGAGTGGGCCGCCGGGGTGACGGCTGGGCTGCCCTTGGCTCGGTTTGAGAGCGATCAGACGGAGGAGGAGGATGGGGAGGGCGGGCTCAGGAGGTCCCATGGAGCACAGGCCCCTGCCTCTGCCTCTGCTGCCGTTGCTGGTGCTGGTGCTGCTGGTGGTGCAGGCCCGTCCTCTTCCCAACCAGCACTAGCACAGACCGCCTCAGCAGGTCAAGCAAGTCAATCAAGTCAATCAGGGCAGCCCCCGCAGCAATCACTGGCAGCAGCACGAGCCGCCGCTGCAGCAGCAGCAGCAGCGCCTGCCACGGCCGTCCCTCCGCCCACCCAGGACCTGCTCAGCCTCGACCTTGTTGCAATCGCCCCTCCTCCCCAACCCCACCCCCCCACCTTCACTGCCAACGCTCCTGCCGCCTCCTCTTCTCCCTTTGACTCGCCGTTTGATGAGCCGCCGTTCCAAGCCACTTCTGCCCCCGGCCCCTCTGGTGGTGGTGGTGGTGCTGCTGCTCCTTATTCCTTCAGCTCGTCATACCAGCAACCGCAGTACCAGCAGCGGCCGCAGCAAGGGTATGGTGGCGCAGGAGGGTATGGCGGCATGGGAGGTGGAATGGGAGGAGGCATGGGAGGGGGTATGGGAGGGGGTATGGGTGGTGGGATGGGTGGTGGGATGGGTGGGGGCATGGGTGGGGGCATGGGTGGTGCGTATGGCACCGGTACAGTTGTGCCGGGAGGCCCGAACCAGCCCGCTTCATACGTGGTGCCGTGGGCCCGTGCTGCCCAAAGCTCCAGCCCCCAGCAGCAGCAGCAGCAGCAGCAGCAGCAGCAGCAGCAGCAGCAGCAGAATAACCAGCAGCAGCAGCAGCAGCCAAGTCCCGGGGGGGCTGCCCTGAGTCCACAGCAGCAGGCGTTGCTCTTCGGTGGTAACCCACCCCCCCTCAACCTGTCGCAGCAGGGAGGAGGGCCGTCAGGTGTGGGGGGCTCGAGCATGTATGGGCCGAACCCCACTTACCCCTACCACCAGCAGCAGCAACAACAGAGGCCGGGAGGGGGTATGATGGGTCCTGCTCCTGAGTATGTGCATGGCCAGGTGTTTAGAGGCACGGGATAAGTTTCTTTCAGAATTTTTAAACCCTAGACCCTAGTGTAGGGTCTTAAGCTGTCCTTGAAATGATGGGGTTGTCTATGAGTAGGGTTGAAGTCCTGTGAATCTAGTGTTGTTTTATGGTGTTACCACATGGAGTAGGAGGTTTAATTAAAACATACGGTAGCAAGCAAACTTAGTAAGACATGGGCTAGGAGATTTTGTATCTACCGTCCTTTACCTACCAAGACAAGTTAGAGACCGATCTCTGGGGTAAGACAATTCTATCGGAGCCGATTGTATCAAATTATTTTCGTGTGTACACCTGGGCTCCAATAATTTCATTCCCCCTAATTGCAAGGCCCCTGTCGTCATCTGTGGCTCCTGGTTGAGAGCGGTTCGGTCCTCCCAACAACCCTCCGATACCTTTAACCGAATAAAACCGCTTTCGCTCCGTTCAGAAGAGTCCGAAACCCCGAAATCTTTCGTGAGAGTGTTGAAATTAGAGGGAACTTTTTTGTTCCCCCCAATTTCAACCCCAGGGCAAAACGACAAGGACGCGGCTCGGTGCCCACATTCTGAAATTACCGGAGCCCAGGTGTACCAGGCTATCCCTCTACCGTACTTTCGGGGAATCAGACGGTTGGGGCTTGCCCCAGGAGCACCAATCAGAATGTTCGGCTGGCTTAAAAAATCAGCCAATAAGACGAAATGTTCTATGTAAATTGTGTGCTGTACTGTACATTGAATGGAATGCTTGTTTGCTGTGAGTCTTGTTTGCTGTGGGGTCTTCCGTACAATAGAATGGAACGCTTGTTCGGTGCGTGCCTAGTTGTACTGTGGTTAGCCAACTGTCAGCTGTCTTGGTTTGCAGCAGGCGCCTGGCCGCTTCTCTGTCGTCAAGGCTCCTGGTATTCATAGGTAAACAGTACGAGCAAGGGCATTGATTCCTAGGCAGTTTCGACAGAACCAGTTTTCCTGCAGACTCTTGTGGAGCGTGAAGCAAGCGGCCAATCAAACAGCCCTCATCGAGAGAATCTACAAATCCACGAGGAGTTTAGGGCCTGGTGCGGCATGCGTCTGAAAATGCGGCCTTTCCGTTTGCCTGGACGGTTTGAAATCGTCCAAGTTGGCGTTTTTACGTTATGTCTTTGCGATATCAACGTCGCATGTACCAAGTCCAGAGTACTGATCTGGACTACTACTAGGGAGCGCTGTCGTTTCGTCGAGTTACATACTATCCCGTAGCCACTATCGATGAAAAATAGGCCTCTGGTGACGTCCTACTATCGCAATAGTATGGCAGCTACTATTGCGTCGTGCTTTCGGGTATCGTGCACTCCAGGGGTTCACATCAATTGCAAAAGTTTGGTAGCTTCGTATTCCATTAAGAACCCCCATGATTCGACTCGTTCCACGCCACACCTTCCTCGAGGAAAAACAGATCGGCAGCCTCAGAAAGGAAGCAGATCTGCCTCGTCTCTCGTGACCACGCCTTTCAAGAAGAATCATGGAAGCACCAATGATCATCCTTCCGCACCTTCCGGCTCTGCCGCTGCTGCCAGCCGCAGCACCACGACGACGACCACAGGAGGACCCGCAGTTTCTGAGGCAGTTATCGTGGGTGGAGGGTTGGCCGGTCTCGCACTGGCTATCGGCCTCCGGAACATTGGAATAGACGCCCAGGTGATGTATGCAGCTAGTACCTCAAAACAAGTGGAACGAGGCGAGCTTCACCTGATGCAGGTAATGGCCCGGATCCTGGAAAGCAGGTATCATGGCCCGGATCCTGAAAGCAGGTATCATGGCCCGGATCCTGAAAGCAGGTATCATGGCCCGGATCCTGAAAGCAGGTATCATGGCCCGGATCCTGAAAGCAGGTATCATGGCCCGGATCCTGAAAGCAGGTATCATGGCCCGGATCCTGAAAGCAGGTATCATGGCCCGGATCCTGAAAGCAGGTATGATGGCCCGGATCCTGAAAGCAGGTATCATCGCCCGGATCCTGAAAGCAGGTATCATGGCCCGGATCCTGAAAGCAGGTATCATGGCCCGGATCCTGAAAGCAGGTATCATGGCCCGGATCCTGAAAGCAGGTATCATGGCCCGGATCCTGAAAGCAGGTATCATGGCCTTGGGAAACAGGGATTTCTGGGTGTGAGCACTCGCAGTGAGGAACAATCCGCATATGACAGGTGCCACAGAAACCACACACCGGCCCTCTCAAACATCCAGTTTCAAACTGTCATATCTAGTGTGGCGTCCCTACGGCACTATCAACCCGAAACCCTGCTAAGAAATAGACGAGGTGGCCACGAACGTTAAGCAGATTCCATCATGTATATTCGTGTTTCTCATCCAACACATTCCAACCGCGCTGGCTCTTGAAGCATTCCAAAGGCCCAACCCATTATCATGCTTTTTCCCATACCAACTTCCAGGTATATGAGGCGCGTGACAAGGTCATTGGGGAGGGGACTGGCATCTTTCTGTTTCCCAACGGCCTTAGAGCACTCAACAGAATTGACCCAGCCATTGTGACACAGGCATGTTCGAATGTCATCCGTGACATCATGACATGCTGGCATTCATGACATGCTGACATTCATGACATGATGACATTCATGACATGATGACATTCATGACATGCTGACATTCATGACATGCTGACATTCATGAGATGATGACATTCATGAGATGATGACATTCATGAGATGATGACATTCATGAGATGATGACATTCACGAGATGCTGACATTCATGAGATGATGACATTCATGAGATGATGACATTCATGAGATGCTGACATTCATGAGATGATGACATTCATGAGATGATGACTGTCATGAGATGCTGACGTTCATGACTTTTTTCACTTCCCGAATTGCCCTTCCCCTTCTCCTCATCTGTGCTCTTGATTGCCTCCGTTCCATTCCCCTTCCCCAAAACGATTCCGCTTCCCCCACTCACACATGCCTCCATTCCCCCATTCCACTTCCCTTGATTTCCCACCCCCTTTTTCCTCATGCAGCTACTTTCTCGGGGAGTCCCAAACCCTACATGCCTCTTCCTCACCCCGTTCGGCCACCGCCTGTCCCGCTGGGGCCTGGCGACCAACATGGCTGCACGATACGGCTTCCCCATGCTGGCGATCGGCTGGCGAGAGGTGCACGATGTGCTCTTCCGCATGCTGCCAAACGACGCCATCCACACCGGCCACAGGCTTGTTGGTTTGTCGCAGAGGGAGGATGCGGAGGGGGGTGGAAACGGCAGTGGCATGGTGAAGTGCGTCTTTCGAAAGGTTTCGGGTGGGACAGAGCGTCTGCTGGAGGTGGAGGTGAGTGGAGATGGGAGCAGTGACGGTGCTGTGTGGTTGAATGCTCGGATGATGGAGTGTGTAAAGCGGAGGAGGGGGAGGGTAGGAGAGGGAGGGTAGGTGGTGATTAAGGGTGGGGTATGGCCGGAGTGGATGGCAAATTGTGACTGGGGTGTGCTGTTTTGCACACTGTTCCTGCTGTCTGACTGTTTGGATGCTTGCTCCCATACTCCCTTCCATCCCCCCATTTGGATCCCCCGCATTCACCTGCCCTCGTAATGTTGTCCTATAACCCTACATTTCCCTTGCTCACCCTTTACCTCTCTTTTACCTCTCCTTTCCCTCTCCTTTGCCTCTCCTTTCCCTCTCCTTTCCCTCTCCTTTGCCTCTCCTTTCCCTCTCCTTTCCCTCTCCTTTACCTCTCCTTTCCCTGACTTTGCCCTCCAGACCCCGCTTCTTCTGGGAGCAGACGGCATTTTCTCCGAAACGAGAAAGCATGTGGTGGGGCAGCAGGCTGGCAATGAGACTGGCGGGTTAATGGGGGAGGGAATGGGGCCTCGAGACAATGGGCGGACTATCTGGAGGGCCATCATCGACAGCAGCCTTGTCTCCCACCCAGTATGTGACTCTGAGATCCGCCTCACATCCCAGCACATCTCCGCTACTCCCACATCCCAGCACATCCCATCGCAACCCCATCGAACCATAACTGAACCCATACCATGATCCACTTTTGTGCAGTTACGATCATACAATCACTAACCGATATCAACTATCTCCTGACCTCGCCTTACTCTGTCGATTACTTTTCTTCTAGTTCTAGATGCAACTCTGCGCATACAGCATGTCACGTGCTGTGCTGTCACAAGCAGGTGGTAGGAAATGGGGCTGTTATAACTGTCCTACCATGGTGTTTTTGTATGGTGGGCCAGCGTATTCACAAACCCACAGGCGCATCTGCAGGCCTCATTAGTAGCAATACAGAAGGTGCCACCAGTTCTCAAAATGTTTATCAGCAATCTACCTATTTTCTTTAGAACTCCCCTGTCACTACACTCTGCTCTTTGCCTTGGGCGTGGTTGTGTTTGTATGTACCAACTCTACCTGGAACCCACCACACCACAGTCATCCCTTATGATAAACAGTGCAGGCTGATATCCGCTGGACTGTCATCTCTTTTTCCTTCTCCCTCCTTCCATGCCTTCTTCCCACAGCTACTGCAGCCACGGCACAGTCTGACCATACTAGCCGGCGACCGTGTGGGAGCCATCCTGAACGGCCACGCAGGCAAGCTCTACTGGGGGCTCGCGCTCGCTGACGGGGCCGATCCGACGGTCAGCAGCAGCCGATCCAGGAGTGGGGAGGAGGCGAAGGAGAAGATCCTGCGAGCAGTGAAGGGGTGGGACGTGCTGCCCCAGTTGGCCGAGGCCACTCCACCGGAGCTCATTTTGGAGCGCCGGATGCTTGACCTGCCTGCCCTTCCTTTCTGGGTTAAAGGAAGGACTGCTCTGCTGGGAGGTAAGCCTGTGTTGGCATTGAAGTCGACTTGAAAGTCACCTCAGCTGGCCGAGGCCACCCCACCGGAGCTCATTTCGGAACGCCGCATGCTTGACGTGCCCGCCCTGCCCTTCTGGGTCAAAGGTAAGATTGCTCTGCTGGGAGGTGAGTCTGGGATGGCAGTGCCTGATAAATTGAATCAGGTTCATATTGGTGGATAGAAAGGCGATATAACCTTTCATGAGCTCAAACTGGGCTCAGTTTACTGTCGCTTTACCATCTCTAAGTACTATTTGTGTTCCATTCCTTGGGATGTGACGCGTGACAATAATCAGCATAAGGTCAAGGAGCTAAAGTATGTTTGTTCGTGTTTACTTTTCCATTTCTTCCATGCCTTCCATGCGTGGCTCCGTGTCTCCCCAGACGCGGCGCACGCAATGACGCCAGAGCTGGGTCAGGGGGCGAACATGGCGTTTGAGGATGCGGCACAGATGGTAGAATGCATTCGCGCTCACTCACATGTCAGGTGGGCGTTGGCGCATCTGATTTGGGCGTTGGTGCGTGCCAGGTGGGTGTTAGCGCATGCCAGGAGGGTTGTGCCGCATGTCGAGTGGGTGTTAGGGCATGCCGGTGGGTGTTGGCGCATAACAGGTGGGCATTGGTGCATGTTAAGTGGGTGTTGGCGCATGTCTCGTGGGTGTTGGCGCAGGTCTCGTGGGTGTTGGCGCATGTCGTGTGGGTGTTAGTGCATGTCAGGTGGGTGTTCATAGTTTCAGGTGGGGTGTGTTGGTGCATGTCAGGTGGGTGTTAGTGCGTGCCTGTATGATTTTATGTCAGCTGAAATTCACTGTATGGCAAATGGTACTGTTGCATGTATGCCGCAGTCCTTCAATGCCTCACAGCTTGATGACTCCACACGGTTCTTCCCTATCCTCATTGCCCACTCCACTAATGTCCATCGGTTCTCTCTCTTCCCATCTCTTCTCAGGCATGCACTGGAAAGCTTCCAGTCCCTTCGCATGCCACGTGTGCATGCTGTGGCAGCAATGAACAGGGCGTCGGCTAAAGCACTGTATGGGGATGCACAAGCATGCAACGGGAACGGGAACAGAAAGGGAATTCTAACAGGTGCTGCACCTCTAATCAGGGGAGCGGTAACGACGTTGCTGGCGGCAGTGACAGAGAGGCATGATACTTTTGACTTCCTCCTTGCACATGAGACTGCTGCAGTGGAGGGGCACGTCACACATTCTGTATTGTGTAGTGAATGGATGCCACCGCACTCAATGAAGCTGGCCAGAACTGAGGCCCGTTAATTTATTATTGCTGTTTATTATTATTATTAATATGATTTATACAATCCTTCTCTCGTGTAAAAGACAATACGCCGATTGAACATCCTGGTTAGCATAGTAGTATGCCGACCTGCATGCGGATGCACTGTTCATGAGCACCTACATATTACACGCACCCCAATTAACCACCAAGAGGTGTTTTGTACTGGGCAGGCAGGCAGGGCTTTATCCGGTACGAGAGTAACTCACATGACACTCTTATATAACATCGTGACATATCATTCACACTGTAACACTCTATCAGGCTTCGAGCGAGATGATTATATCCTACGAGCAAGGTACTTCGGTGGCACAACCCTGATGCCCAAGGAAAGGATAGACCCTGCTTCTACCGGTAGTGCGCTTGCACGAGTCAAGTCAGACTTTAGCCAACCTGAGCAACTGGAGTCAATAGGCTCATCTGGAGTCAACCGCAGCTGGAGTCAACAGGTGCAGCAGGAGTCAACAGGTGCAGCAGGAGTCAACAGGTGCAGCTGGAGTCAACAGGTGCAGCAGGAGTCAACAGGTGCAGCAGGAGTCAACAGGTGCAGCAGGAGTCAACAGGTGCAGCAGGAGTCAACAGGTGCAGCTGGAGTCAACAGGTGCAGCTGGAGTCAACCGGTGCAGCAGGAGTCAATCAAGCTGCTTAGTTGATCCATCAGCTGTATCTCAAGCCTTCACACCCGCATTCGTCTGCACCAGCATGGGCAGCACAACACCAGCCATCTTGACAGTGTCAGTGGTAACGACAGCACTTAGGGAACCACTGGGAGGCAAGCTCCTAGCATCTAGCCAATCACAGATGTTGCGAACCAGCCTGGCAACCATTGAATAGACTCAAACGAGGTGACTTTTCAATCGACTCAAAAGTCAAGCTCCTGGCATCCAACCAGTCAGAGATGTCATGAACCACCCTGGCAACAACGTGATCCGGCTCTCCACACGTGAGTGCGTGCCACGCACCCACATACACCTTCATCTGCTTGTCTGCGCTGCTCGCTCGTGTGAAGAGGTCGTGGACAGCTGCCATGTCTATGACCTTATCCTCTGTTCCCTGTAGGATCAGTAGCGGCACCGCCACCTGATTGCCACGGGTGGAAAGGCAAGTGAGTTGGATTAACGCAAACACCATGATTTGCAGGCAGGAAGGCAGGAAGGCACATACGCGCGCCGCGCGCACGCGCACACACTTGCGCACGCACACACGCAGGCGCGCGCACACACACACGAACATGCGCGCGTACGCACATGCACAGGCACACACTCTCACACGCCCGAGCGCACGCCCGCGCGCACGCACACACATGCACACACACGCACAAACATTCGCACAGACACACGCATGTAGGCACACCCACCCATGGACATATGTGCAGCACATACACAAGAACATGCCCAGCGTGCCTCACCTCTTCCATGTGAGCACAGATGTCCAGAGTGGTCTGATAGATCTGCAACGAAGTGCCCAGTCGTAGCGGGCCATGATATGCGAAGGGGTGATTGTTGGCCCTCTCTCTCTTCTCGGGCACCTGCCAAGTCGAGCCATGAACACATCCATATGCGCACGCATGCACACATGCACGCATGCACGCACGCACTCATGCACCCAAATTGGCAATGGCAAAGAAAGGAAGTCACATCTGATTACGTTTGGGTGTTTTCTTTTGCCAATTAACCCGAAAAACGTTTCTGAAAGTTACATTCCTCGAGAGGAAGGTCTAAAGACGTTTCAATCGTTTCAATTGTTTTACCTTAAAGCAGTTGTCAAGTTTGCCGTTGACTGGCAGGAGTTTCCAGGTAGGGAAGATGCGTGCGAGGCAGGAGAAAGGAAATATCAATGGTGCAGGGAGGGTGAGCTCCTTGGACACCTGGGCGAGTGAATGGGGTGAAATTGAGGAGGGGACAGCACGGGGGGAAAGTAAGCAAGGTAGAGGAGAATGAGAGTGATGGGGGGGAGAGACGCAAGGGGGAAGAGACATACTAGGGACAAATAGGTTTGAAGTAGAGGCCCAGAGATGTGAGACGGATGTACCACTGCTACTAAACGGATCTCACTGTGGAGCGCTGCACCGTTAACAGCTCTACTGCACCGGACTTCACCCCACTTGTTGGCACTGAACCGCACAGCAGAAGCTCTAAGTATCTCACACCATCTACTAATCTCACACATACGCACTGCTGCACCTGAACGCCTTCTCTACTTGACTGGTCACAGCCCCACCCACGGGCTCCCCTGATCGGCCGGACACTGCACATATGATAACCTTACACATGGGTGCAGCCAGCACTGCACCGTTCCAGAGGCTGGCGTCTCGTCGTGCGACTTGAATGGCCACAGCACCTCCCATGGACTCGCCATAGACAAAGAATGGCAGATGGGCGAACCTGGGGCTTGCTGGGGGGGGGAATGGAGGGTGTGAACAGAGAACAGTTGTTGGAATCAGGGAGGACGAGGGGGAGCACGCGAGTTTTTTACTGGATGAGAAGATGGATTATAATAAGATGAAACCACTTGCACATTCACTCCACACGCTCCTGCAAGCACTCCGCAAGAGCTTCAGGACCGACTAAGGGCGACGTCAGGTTGTACGTTTCTCAGCACCTTTACAGTTCTTGTATCGTGGCTTGGGACGGTTCCACACGGTGGGAAGTGGTTCTCAAGCTTTACCGTCTTGCACCGTGACGAAATGGAGTTGAGCATAGGGAAGTTGTACAACCTGACGTCACGTCACGTGGCCCATAGATGCTTCCCAGCTGACTCAAGCACACAAGACTTCCATGAAGGGGAGCCTACACCAATTCTGACTTGAGCACCACCTCAGTCACCGTCACAGCGTGGCACACCTCAGTCACCGTCACAGCGTGGCACACCTCAGTCACCGTCACAGCGTGGCACACCTCAGTCACCGTCACAGCGTGGCACACCTCAGTCACCGTCACAGCCTGGCACACCTCAGTCACCGTCACAGCCTGGCACACCTCAGCCACACCGTCACAGCCGACTCCCCTTTTATGCGGCGGGCGACTTCAATGACGTCATCCATAGGGCAGGGGAAGCTGCGATGACAGCGTTGTTTTGAGACGTCTCAAAGCAGCACCACCTCAGCCGCACCATCCCAGGGGCACTACTCACCTTTTGCACGGCGAGCGACTTCAAGGACATCGTCAACAAGGCAGGGGAAGCTGTGGATGTACCCGTGACGACCGGTTGACAGCCCATGGCCCTCATAGTCCACTCCCACCAGGGCATAGCCTTTGCCTGCCAGCATTACTGCCACGTCTGGAAGCAAGGGGAGGGGAGGGGAGGGGAGGGGAGGGGAGGGGAGGGGAGGGACTTCAACTATGTCAGCAACAAGGCAGGGGAAGCTATGGATGCATGGCAACCGCCTGACAGCCTATGGTCCACTCCCACCAGCGCATAGCCTTTGCTTGCCAGCTGCACTGCCACGTCTGAACAGGGAGGGGAGGACGAGGGAGAGGGGAAAGGACGTCGGGCGGATTGGGAGAGGGGAAAGAGCACATAATGTGATGCTTCTGCGATTCACACACAGTTCAACGGGTGACGAGTCACGAGAACGTGCGCTTGTGATGCTCCTTGCTGGATCCAAGCCGGAGGTCAAGCAATTGGTGTATTCACATCACACCAGGAGGAAGTCCACTCTCAGCCATTTGCCCATGCTTACATGTCTCCATGCCAGCTCCAAGCCCCATGCAAATTGCCCCATGCCCCACGCCCCATGCCCCATGTCCCATGACCCATGCCCCATGCCCCATGTCCGATGCCCATGACCCATGACCCATGACCCATGCCCATGACCCATGACTCATGTCCCACACGCCCCATGACCACATGCCACATGCGCCATGCCCCATGCCCCATGACCACAAGCTAATGCCACATGCCCTACTTTCAAAGATCTAAGTGCACGTCCCCCTTCCTCCCCCCCTTTCCCCCTCCACCCCCTTTCCCCCCACCCCTCCCTCTCCCATAACCAAGGCAAACCAGCACCAGAAATCTCCCCACCGTTGGCCAACGTGTGCCCAAACCCATCCCTCAGTGAGCGATCACCTTCAAAGATGTAGGTGCACGTCTCGCCATAGCCATGGCAGCCCACCACCACTCCCTTGAGCCGCGCGTCCCTGGGGAGCCATTGCTTGGTGAAGAGAACCACCCCCCGCGCGTTGATTATGTACTCTTCTACCGAGGCCACCCCGTGTGACGCCTGGGAGGGGGAGATGGAGAGGTGACTATTGAGTCGACTCAAAAGTCTCCGTGGTGAGGTGAAGAGAACAACCCCCCGCGCGTTGATGATATACTCCTCATCCGAGGCCACCCCGTGTGACGCCTGGGAGGGGGGATGGAGGCGGTTTGACCCCGTGTGGCAAGGGAATTTCGTATGGCGCAGCTATACGTCAGTCCATGATGGACGCCCCTCGAGAGAGCATCAAAAGTGGGGTCTTCTAGGGCGTATGACAAGGAAGGAAGGAGGGACGGAGGAATGGAATTTAAACACCCCGACTGGTCCACTGGACCACAGGTATGGACACACGACAGGGCAGAGGGACAGACGACAGGGCAGAGGGACAGACGACAGGGCAGAGGGACAGACGACAGGGCAGAGGGACAGACGACAGGGCAGAGGGACAGACGACAGGGCAGAGGGACAGACGACAGGGCAGAGGGACAGACGACAGGGCAGAGGGACAGACGACAGGGCAGAGGGACAGACGACAGGGCAGAGGGACAGACGACAGAGAAAGGGACAGACGACAGGGCAGAGGGACAGACGACAGAGAGAGGGACAGACGACAGAGAGAGGGACAGACGACAGGGCAGAGGGACAGACGACAGAGAGAGGGACAGACGACAGGGAGAGGGACAGACGACAGAGAGAGGGACGGACGACAGAGAGAGGGACAGACGACAGAGAGAGGGACAGACGACAGAGAGAGGGACAGACGACAGGGCAGAGGGACAGACGACAGAGAGAGGGACAGACGACAGAGAGAGGGACAGACGACAGAGAGAGGGACGGACGACAGAGAGAGGGACAGACGACAGAGAGAGGGACAGACGACAGAGAGAGGGACAGACGACGGGCCACGGGGACAGACGGGACAACGAAAGTAGATACAGACTGAAGAACGGACGGACGGCCAAGCAGATCGCCTTCCCATGTTTTGTTTTGTTTTTTTATTTTGCTCGGAAGCGGGGGGAGAGAGGGGGGAATACGAAATACGACGTTTGGTTGTCCTTATGGGGAGCTGAGGGACATGAGGGGACATGATTAGGGTTACTCGCCTGCACCGTGCATACATTAGGGTTAGCGCTATAACTCACGTAGAATGAGGGAGGCTTCTTGTGCGGCTGACGTGCTTTTCTCCTAGCGGCCTCCCATTCTAAGCTCGGCGCCGCCTTTCGCGGTAGCACGAGCCGTTTAGCCACGTATAGTAAGGCTCCGAGGATGGCGGTGGGAAACACGGGGCCCCACATGCGAAGGTTCTGCGATCATCCAGCCGCTGCGGCAAAAACTGAAAGTCTCCAGTGAAGTGTCGATCATGAAACAATAGTTCGCCGCACGCCAGGACATTGGTCCCTCTACCGACAGATCGGAGGCTGGCTGGAGCCCGTCTCGGTCATGCGCGGTTTCCCGATGCACCTCAACACCCCACCCCCCCCCCCCCAACCCCCCCCTTCGCCCCCCCTCCCCTCTTCCTCCGGCTCCCCCCTCAACAACCACCGCCCCCTCTCCCACACTCCAGTTTCCGCTTTGTCCTTGCACGAATATCAGAGGAAAAACGGCAAGAGACCCGGAAATCGATCTCAGTTCAGCTCGTTCCGGCGCTGGTTTCGTGGAGTCGCCACACAGCTGTACTGTAACAACAAACACAACATGCCAGGAAGCACAGTACACTAATAGCTGTACATACAGACAGATATGATTACTCAGCTGATCCCGCACTGTTCTTGAAAGTTTGCGCTTCACCCACAGTTCTGTTGCGAAATTGCGCAACGCGACCTATCGCGCGCCTAGCTTAGTTCCGTCGACCACTCTCGCAGCGCGGGGGGTCCGCCAGAGGCTGCCATAAAAAAATTTATATTTACACGCTTTTATATATTTTATCCACGTAAGCTGATGCGTGACACCTGGTCGTTCATTTTGAGGTTACAATGTTGTGTTGCGGTTGAGTTGGCTGCTCAATCATCTATTGTCGTGCTCGCAAAAAACAAAAAAGAATGTCTCGATATTATCCTTTTTTCCTTTACATATTTCTATCGTATTTGTCTCGCAGGCTAGCATCATTGTTAAATTTTGTATATTTCAATAAAAAGACGCATGACGATCCTTTTTGCTTATGCATAATATATTAACGGTTTCTCATGCGTAGACGCATATGGTAAAATGTATAACATCTAAACAAAGGCCTGCGAAATGTGCTCCATTAATCCTAACTACCTTGTCGTAAAGTGTTTAGGGATAAAATTTTGTTTTTTCATGTTTTATATTATTTTAGCCCTAACAAACCCGCATAAGCGATGCTCTTTGTGTAACATTAACCCAAAAAAATGAATGGGTTTAAATTATCGCAAAGGTATGCCAGCCTGAATGGGTTTTTTTTCTCTTATATGAGATTTTTTTTCTTGGATAACGATAAAACAACCATATTTATATATTCAAGTATAGGTCGATTCTTTTAAGGAAGGCTCGGGTGCCTTTCATGCACTACGAGGATAGTTGACGGGATTTAGCTAAGCACACAATCTTGTCGTAACTGGAGCAAGGTTGATGCACAAAAAAAGCTTATAGAGTGAGATCACTGAAACGCATCCCCTCTAGAAATATTATTTCTGCCTTTTTTCTTCGTGATGAGCGAATCCACCGGCTGAATGTTTCCGCGTTAAAAATCGTAACATTGACGCCAGAACGAGAGGCTCTTCAGCAATCCTTCACGAAATTGACAAAACCGTGACATTTTTTTAACTTTGACGTCACATTCTTACGTTACGAGACAGTTATAGACAGAGGTACCGGATTGGGACGCCACATTGATAGTGACGAAAAACATCGCATTTACGTTACAATAGTGTTACAGAAACATCACAATTACGCCACTGCTTGTGTAACGTTTCCGTCACAAATCCTTCTCCGAACCGTTACCAGTGTCCAAGTGTCGTGAAAGTAACTGGAAAATAACTGAACAACAATACCGCCATGTAGGATGCCACGTTTTCTCTAGCTACAACTTATTCGTTTCATCATGAGTGCTCAACAACAGAACGTACCTCATTGTTGCAACTCACCGTCCAATAATACCTTTGCACGTGTTGCTCTAAACACTTCACATCTAGGTGTCAAACATTATACATGTTGTATTTGTGTAGGCTGTAGTGGGTTAGCCTATAGGGGGGTCACAACATTAGGGTTTCATATTTGTACTCACAATCCTTGCTAGTTCATCATTCCTGCCTGTTCATTCTGACATGCTATCAGAGCAGGTCGACCCTCCTGGGTCGATCCTGTGGGTGGGCCCACCACCTAAGCCTTCCGCTGCTACTGCTACTGCTACTGCTACTCTGTGTGTCGCACGCCTCGTGGCGTGCGACGGATTTTTCATCCCGCCGTGCGCCCCGAGGTGTGCGGCGGTTTTCTGCCCGCCGTGCGCCCCGAGGCGCGCGGCGGTTTTCTCCCCCCGTCGCCCGCCGAAGCGCCCCCGGGGACCCGCGCGTCGCCCCCGTCGCCCGTGCGCGGCCCGTACTGCACGAGCGCGGCCCGTACAGGCTGCGCCAGGCCCGCGCGCGGCCTGTCCTGCACGCGCGCGGCCCGTACGGGCTGCGCCAGGGCCGCGCGCGGCCCGTACAACCCGCGCGCTGCTCGTACGGGCTGCGCCAGGCCCGCGCGCGGCCCGTACGGCCTGCGCCAGGCCCGCGCGCGGCCCGTACGGGCTGCGCCTGGCCCGCGCGCGCCTCGGGCCGCCTGCGCGCGGTTCGTACGGGCTGCGCCTGGCCCGCGGGCGCCCGGTCTCCTCTCCCACTGAGCTGCACGCCGTCCCTCGCGCTTCTGACGGCGCCCCACCCCTGCTGCTGCCCGTACTCCTGAATTAGGGTTTGGGGGTGGAGCGTATGGGGGTGCCGTCTCTGTCAGCCGTCCCCTGCTCCTCCTCCTCCTCCGTCTCCCACTGCTGCAGCTGCTGCTCAGGGGGGTGGGTGTGTGGGAGCCGAGGGTTTAGGGTTTAAGGGGGGTGCCATGGGAGTGGAGCTAGGGTTTCAGCAGGGGGTGTGTGTTGGGGGGTGTGGGACAGTTGGAGGAGGTTGGGTGGAGGCAGCCGTCGTGTCGTCTGCAGCGCCTGTATTCCGGGGTTCTGATAGCCACCGGTAGCTCAGAGAGCCGGTTGCACCTGTCGCCCGTGGGTCCGTTGCTCCTGTCGCTGCTGATCAGACGCAGAGCCTGTTACTCCTGTATTCCGGGGCCCTTGCTCCCGGTAGCCACTAGAGTTGCACCAGAGCCGTCTGTGGATTTTCAGGGTGAAGCGGCCACCGGGTTCTCCTCCTGTCTTCAAGGCGCGCTACGTGGCTCGAGGCTTCAGTCAGCGAGAGGGAGTTGACTTCTTTCAGACCTTCTCCCCCACCCCGAAGATGACCACTCTTCGGGTGCTGCTGCACATAGCCGCTCAGCGCGACTACGAGCTTCACTCACTTGACTTCAGCACTGCTTTCTTGCAGGGCAGCCTGCACGAGGAGATCTGGCTGCGCCGCCCTCCTGGCTTCACTGGGTCGGTTCCTCCTGGTACCCAGTGGAGGCTTCAGCGGCCGGTCTACGGTCTCCGCCAGGCTCCGCGTGAGTGGCACGACACACTGAGGACTACACTTGCGGCTCTTGGGTTCGCGCCTTCTACAGCTGACCCGTCACTGTTCCTGCGCACCGACACTTCGCTGCCGCCGTTCTACATCCTCGTGTACGTCGACGACTTGGTCTTTGCCACTGCTGACACTGCAGGACTCGCCTACGTGAAGTCGGAGCTGCAGAGGAGACACACGTGCACAGACCTGGGTGAGCTGACAAGCTATCTTGGCTTGCGGATCACCCGGGACAGAGCACGGCGCACCATCACCCTGACTCAGTCACACATGGTGCAGCAGATCCTCCAGCGCTTCCGCTTCACGTACTCCTCGCCTCAGTCCACTCCTCTGCCTACCGGTCACTCGCTCTCAGCTCTGCCTTCGGATGAGTCCGTAGAGCCGAGTGGCCCGTATCCAGAGCTGGTGGGCTGCCTCATGTACCTGATGACCTGCACTCGACCTGACCTTGCATACCCTCTTAGCATCCTTGCACGCTATGTCGCTCCTGGCCGTCACAGGAAGGAGCACATGGATGCCGCTAAGAGGGTGTTGCGCTACTTGTGCAGTACGTCGGGCATGGGGCTTGTGCTTGGAGGGCGAGACCGAGTTGTTCTCACAGGGCACTCAGACGCTTCTTGGGCAGACGACCAGGCCACTCAGCGGTCGTCTCAGGGTTACACCTTCAGCCTTGGCTCTGGCTCAGTTTCTTGGCGCTCTACACGCTCTTCTTCTGTTCTCGGCTCCAGTTGCGAGGCTGAGATCTACGCTACAGCCATGGCTGCCCAGGAGCTACGCTGGCTGACCTACCTGCTGACCGACCTCGGAGAGCGGCCTCGTTCTCCTCCAGTACTGTACGTCGACAACAAGGCTGCCATTGCCTTGTGTGAGGAGCACAGACTGGAGCACAGAACGAAGCACATCGCCCTGCGGTACTTCCTTGCTCGTGAGCTGCAGCAGTGCGGTCAGCTTTGTATTCGCTACGTGGCCACTGAGGCCAACACTGCTGATGTGTTCACCAAGGCGCTTCAGCCTCGTGACCATCAGCGCTTCTGCACTCTACTAGGCCTTGTGCCTACTGGACCTCACTTACTTACCTCTTGACTTTGCTTGTACTGTGATCACTATATATATCTATACCTGCATGTTTACTCTTGCTAGGTTGTGATCACTGTATCTCTTGCTCTGTTATAAACTTGCATGTGAACTGGTCTTGTGACCACTAGCTTGTGCTCGGAATTTGTGTGGAATCCTTGAGATCCACCCTGAGCTTGTTGTTGTCTTGCTTTGCCTTGACTGGTCTTGTGACCCCTAGGTCTCCCCCACTTTGCCTATGGGGGTGTGTCAAACATTATACATGTTGTATTTGTGTAGGCTGTAGTGGGTTAGCCTATAGGGGGGTCACAACATTAGGGTTTCATATTTGTACTCACAATCCTTGCTAGTTCATCATTCCTGCCTGTTCATTCTGACACTAGGGTCTAGAATCGCGCGTTACCCTATGTAATCTACGGCTATCTCAATACATTAGAAACGAGCCTAGCAACATATCCACCGTAGACTGCACCTCGCATCTACGAATAATAATATGACATATCCTCCCAAACAGACGGCCAGGGTGTCTCCACCTCATCCGCCTCCTCTCACATCCATACTTT